GATAAGCAAGTCATACAGGAGAGTTTTAATTTAATGTTACCAGTCATTAACACTTAGTGCTTTGTTTGGATCAGATATGGTTGTAAACATGGTGTACATTAATTACGGTCAAAGTTCACAGGCTATGCCTCAAATAGTACCACTTATCTTGTTTTGTAGGATCAGAGAAAAGGAGATATTTTTCCAGTGTCACAGGCCCTTGAGTTTGGGCAGTTTGGCTCCCAACTTCATGTCACAACAATGAAACTTGGTAGCTTCCCAACCAAGTGCTGTATACAGTTCTGTGTGATTTTAGCGCACGGGGTGATATGTCACCAGTTCCCAATTAATGAGACCTTTTTTTTTGTCTCCTCTAGTTTTCAGTTATTAAAAATAAATGATAAAAAAATAACACTGCAAAGTTCAACTATATCAGCTTTGTGCCCTTGTATAAGTCTGTCTATGGGTAAATGTCTAATGCATAGTTATTAGGTATGTATGCTTTTTCCTAAGACCGTCAATCTGCCTTCCACACTGAAGAACCATTTTCACTCCAAGTCTGCAAGCCATGAGAAGCTCTAAGAGAACCTGTAACTTCTGTAAACCTCCATTGTTCTCTTCTACTCTCTTTTCTTATGATGCGTGGCTCTGCTGTTGGACAAGGCATTTTACCACATGCCAAGCACATTTGGGGAAATGTGCTCACGTTTCTATGAGGTCTAACTCTGCTCAGAGGGGATGAGCAGGCATATGGTACCTCTTGGCTTGTGCTGCCTGGCACCCTGAGGCCATGAAAGAATTACTGTGAGGCTGGTTCACCTGGCCTCAGCCTGATCTATGCTGACAGCTTTATTAGCTCTCAAACATTTATCCAGCCAGAACTTTTAAACCAATCCAAGGTTTCATTTACTTTTACTCTGGGGAGAGAAGAGAAATGAGAATTGTACTGAGGGAAACTCCACAGAGAGGTGACCCCACCCACACCATCCTTTCCTTGCAGACTTCTTACAAAATGGAATCCATCCTTTCTTTCCAGTTGTGGGCCTTTTTCCCACCAGTGTTTCTCTGAAGCCATTGGTGTGTGGAAAGTGCATTGCTGGTGGGAAATGACTGAGCTCATTCATTTGGTCTCTATTTAACTCTTGCATGAATTATTTGCTTTGTGAAGGAAAAGTATTGAGTAAGATAGTGTCTTGGATTCTTTTCTAGCTGCCGGGATAAAATGCTCTGATAAAAAGCAGCTTGAGGAAGGAAATGTTTATTTGAGTTCACAGTTCTAGGTGAAGTCCATCCTGACAGGGAAGTTGTGACAGAGGAAGCTTGAAGCAGCCAGTCACATCTCATCCGCAGCCAGAAACCACGAGCAAGGTGTTGCATGCATGCTACTCCGTTTCCTTTCTCCACGTATACAGGTCGGGGGCCCAGTGGGAATGTCGCCTCCCATAGTAGGTGGGCCTTCCTACCTTAATCAATCTAATCAAGAGAATCTCCCCTAGGCATGTTTAGAGGCCTGCCTCCCAAGGTTCAAGAGCCTGCCAAATTGATGATTAACACTAGCCACCACATGTATGATACCTGCATCTGAAAAACTTGCCATCTTTGCCCACTGTCCTAGGGATGGAGGGTGGAGAAGATGGGTTCCACTTGTGTAGGTGTGGATTTAGAGCAGTAAGGAAACATATAAAGGGAATTTCAGAAGTAATATCACCCTTTCTTTATTGATGAGAACACTAAATATTAAGCAAATGAAGTGACTTGCCAGTGTTTACTCAGTCACCAGAGAGGAAGTCATACCTCAAACTCCAGTTCTGCTTACAAAACTCCAGTGTCCTCCCCTGTACCAGCATGTGTTCTGCAAGCCTAATGGCTTAACTATTATGGG